CAAGCTTCTTCAGGGTGAGCACAGCTGTCGAACACAGATATGTGTTTAGCTAGTTCTTCCTCAAATACGGATTTAGTTTCCTGATCGAGCTGGGGACGTGATGGTTTTACCGCCAGCTGTTTCCTACGTCCGTTCAGTCGTAAGCACACCCGAGCGCGGACCAGTGCATGGTCGGTATCTACGCACGTGTTCCAGAAGGAGCGACAATCTCCTACCGACCCACGCCAACGATAGCTTATTGCTATGTGGTCTATTTGTGTCCAGCGTTGGTTTGATGAAGGGGGTCTCCAAGTCAAACAGTGTCTCTCCTTGTGTTTAAAGTTAGTGCTTACAAGAAACAAATGATTATCAGAGCAGAACTGTAGGAGACGGTCACCGTTGTCGGTTCGCTGGCACGGAACTCCATAGGTGCCACCGACATCCTTCTCAGATTGACACAATTTCCCTACTTGAGCGTTAAAGTCACCAGCTAGAACGACTATGTCTGAGCGTTTAGCCTTTCTCACCAAACTAGACAGCTTTTGGTAGAACTCATCCTTCGTTTCATCTGAACTGCAGTCAGTGGGGGCGTAGGCGGAGATTACGAAAAGGCATCGGCGAGTAGTGCAGTCCTTCCTCCTTCTTACTGATCCGTTCAGGCGGACAGCACACATTCGGCTATCTACCGGGATCCAGTCAAGCAATGTCTTTTCTGCCCTAGTACTCAAAGCTATCCCTACGCCAGCTAATCCTCGTGAACTAGCTGTGGCATCTCCTGACACCCTCAAGGTGAATTTTGCAGATTCAACCTGTTGGCCAGGTGGGGTTAGGTGAATAACCACACTTGGGTCTTGTATGCGTGTTTCTGAAACACAGCATACATCAATGGCTCGTGATGCCAGGGTCTTGGCTAGTGATGCTTGTTGTCCTATTTGGCAAAGTGTCCTAACATTAAGAGCTCCTATATGAAATTGGTGGCGCGGCTTTAAGAGGCTGTCGGTGGTGGTTTTTTGGCTTCCATCGTTTTTAGTGGACGCAGAGTGGAGAGGAAGTGGAGAGCTATCAAGTCGAGGAGTTGCATCAGTGGAAGGAAGGCAAGATGATAGAGATGAAGATGAAGACAAAGATGAGTGAGTAATAGAGAGGTTTCGTGTGCATTTCGGATTGTGAGGGCGATTGTTACTTCCCGGCTGCCCACACCGTGGAAGTTGGTTGCGTGACCGCAGAGCCCAGGGGACAACTGCTTGAGGCCGGTCACACGCGGCCTGTTTTTTTGTTCTTTTTGTTTGGTGTGTCTCAGTAGCAGATTTATCACTCCTGCCCTGTGACACGGCAGCAGGAAGCGCGGTCGTTGTTAATCCGGGCCACGGCCGATCCGGCATACTTGTGAGTTTGTATATATCATAGTGTTAGATTGGGTAGCTGCTTTTTGTCTAACCGCTATCCAAACAACCTTTCTGGCATGGTAGAACCTCAGTTTACGCCGTCTCTGGCGTAGACGAGATATCCGACTATCGACCAAAGGGCGGGTGTACTGCTCATCAGTCCTCTTCGTCCTCCTTTATGGCTGAGACCTGGCCACTGAGAGTGGAAGACATGAAAAGATTAGCTGTCTTTGACCATAGGTGCCTGCGTTCTATCTCCCGTGTGAAGTGGTGTAATGAGGTGAGCACTATTGAGGTGAGGCCTCGGTCGAGTTCTAGGTAAGGAGGGGAAATCAATTGGACGAGGTTGTGAAGTTACATAGACTGAGATGGTTAGGACATGTGTTACGTATGCCGAGTCATCGCCTTCCTCGATGAGCGATGTTAGCGGATATAGGGTCAGGCTGGAAAAAAGCTAGCTGAGGTCAAACAAAAACTTGGCACCAGTCAATGAAATCTACAACAGCTAGTCTAAGCCAGTCACGTAGGAAGGTGTAGACTTCCTGGTTGGGTTCCTCGGGACGGTAAAAACCAGTGGTCGGAAAGAGTTGTTGACATGACTCACGATCGTTCTCAATGGCTGGCGAAGATGCATCCACTTCTTGTGACTTATGATTTCCAATGAAACTGTTTTGTTATTCATTAATACTCGTCCTTTGTCTCACACCTCTGCTTACTGTTTCTATTATGCATTTGTTGTACTTTCTTCTCTTGCTCTGTGTGCTACATGGAGTGTGGCGACTTAAACTGCCGCACATACGTGGAAAGTTCTATGTCGAAAACAGACAGACAGATATGTCTACCCATTATTGTTATTTCTGCGATTTTATAATTTATTTTATTCTATTCATTTACGTTCCCGATGAGACATAGAACTTCAAGCTAGAACTCTGAGGTTTCGGTAGCAGTGGTTTTTATTTTCACGGCTTGTGGTTGCTAGGGTTATACCCATCCTTCCCTCTTCAACAGGCTTATCCACAGGCTAGACGAGGTTTAGGGTTGCGTTGGCTGGGGTTTGAGTCACGGAGCCCCGTTGGTGGTGGCTGGTGAGCGTGCTACATGTGAACCAACGATTCACGCCGTATTAATTAGCCTCCGTTAAATATTACCCTCTGCCAGACTCGTATTTGTCCATTGTAAGCAATGTCATCCTATTTCTTTTGTATTCTTTCTGTGCGTAGTGTTTTTCATGTGTGACAACTTAAATTGATGCTTCTTTTTCTAAGATTCCGTGTTGATGTACGCTTTTTATGAAACAGTACATGGTACTTAAAGTCATGGAAAGTACCTCCAATATAATTTAGCTGACAATATGCATGTGTGCTGATAGATTGGGGGATGTGTGGATGATCAGTATCTCCTGATTCTGGATATTTTGATGGTCAGTACCTACCCATGAGAAAGTATTCGAAAATTTATGAAGGTCCATAAAAAGAAGTAGTAATGTTGTGAATAATGAAAGTAGTATAAATAATAAGGAATTCAAAGCCTAGCTCATCCTGTCGTATTAATAAGGATCCTCGGAAGTACTGCGTGACACTTAAACGAACCAAAGACGGATTTCATAGATAGAATTCGGGAAAATTAACATTTACTAAGTACCAAGCAGAGTGACTGTGAGGTCAACTGTATTTGTCAGACAAGTAGTCTGGCGTGACTTAGATTATCGGTAGGTAAGAGTTCAGCTGGACTGATATACGAATAAAACTTGTGCGCTGTAGTAGAGTATAATTCCATTATGGGTAAATTTTTGTTTTGATAAAGTCTCACAGTGTTATACAGTAATGTTTACTGATGAAGTTTCGAGCACAATTTATTGCTCATAATCATATCCTAATAGCGGAGGTTTGTAGATAGATTTTGTGAATGATTTTGACTTATACATTTGGTTCCCTTGATAAATTTCGATAAAGAAAAAAAAAGACGAAATTTGCAGCATAAAATGATGTCATTCTATTTCACAGGTTCTCATCAGCTGCAGACTGCTTTAATGTTTGAGTGGTGGTAGAGAAGAGATACTATAAAAATTGACGCATCCAAAATGAAAGCATTACAATTTTTTTAGTTTAAGTTTTCATCATCAATTTATACGCTTTTAAAGTTGAAAAGAGCGGGGAGGTGTAAGACAGAAAATAGAAAAATTGATTAACAGAACAGTGTTAGCTTGTAGGTTCACATAACAACTCAAAAAACAAAAGCGGTTACAGTTTATAAGATTAAGATTTGTTCAGTGAGTTGAGATCAAGTTACGAAAATTGATTGACTCTCAAAATCAACTATCCAGCTCAGAAAACACAACCACATCAAAATCATCCACCTGAGCTACAAATCTTCTCTATCATATCTAATGTCTACTTTAAATGGTCCAAAGATTCTAGCCATTATTTCAGAGATATTATTTATATATGGTAGAGTGAATTTTCCTGTAGCTTTTGAGGATGGTTTCTTGTTGGTATTTCTATTTGAAGAAAATAAAGTAAAAGCAAAATAAAAGTGAAATTAAACCTAAAATTTTCTACAGGGAACGACTAGTGAAGAGGTTTAGATCATGGTAGAGTAAGAGGCTGGACAAACATTTTCTGTGTACGGGGTTGCCAACTCCTCCGCTATACATGGACGCCGAAACCTGACACCCTTTGTTCCATTTGGCCTCACCTTGTAGATAATCTTGAAAGACAACTGTGGTGGGACTGCGTGGCTTGAGTTCACCAATTGCTCGAGAATTAATCTAGTAACTGTCTTGCATTGTCCTTTAACTACCTATGTTGGATGATGTTAAGAGATGTGCTTTCAAAGTGTGCGCTTTATGCGGCCAATATAACTAGCTCCACATGAGCAGGTGAATTTCCAAACACACACTGAAATGGTTCAAAGCAATTTCGCGTTGCAGGCAGTTCTCACCACAACTATACATCAAATTTACTAACTGATAAAAGACTAATCATGTGACAAGAAACTCCAACTCAATAAAAAATGATCAACAGGCATGTAAATGAACAACCAATGACAACCCGAATGAGGTTGTCAAGAGGAGATACAATTATGTTTTTTTCGAGTTGATCGAGGATTGATACCGGTTAGAGAACCATTGAAAACCAGAGAGTACTGGACAGCTGCTGTTTCATCCTAGTTTGGGAATTATCGACAGTACGCACCCATTGGGATTCGAACCCAGCACCTTCCGGTTACAAGGCAAGCTCGTATACCATTCAGCCACTGGGACCCAATTCAATGTCCAGTACTCCCTGGTTTTCAATGGTTCTCTAACTGATATCAGTCCGTGATCAACTCATAAAAACAAAACTAACCCTTACAAACCAAACTATATAGAATACAATTATGTCAACGTTAATGGAGAATTCAAATGAGTTCAATTCATAATTAAATTTGCGCTTAAGGTGTTGTTTAGATGGACAGTGAAAGCTTTTTCACTTGATTTGTCCAGCTAAGCAAACAAAGCCTCACTAATATTGTACCCATCTGAGTGTGAGATACACGCTAAAATTTTAAAATATTTACAAAAGTGTCTAACAGCCTTGTTAATTGTTGATATTTTCGTTTGTTACTTTGTTGTTACCTGCTAACTTTTCTACACAGAAATTCAAGTTGCACATGAAACAATGAAGTTTCTTGTTAATCTTGTTGCTAATCTCGGTCCAAAATTACGTACAGCCACTCTGTTATCAAAGGCTAGAAGAGTTAGACATGGCCCATTGACTGCTGAAAATTCTTTACTTCAGAAGCATTTAGAGAAAATACCAATTGGATTTTATCAGGAATATGTTCAATGTGTCAATAATATACTAACTCAGTATAAAAATGATGATGTTGACCTAACTAAACCACCAGAGATGATTTTGGAAGAAGATTCGCATATATTGAAACATTTAATGAATCGTACACATGGTAAATTTGGCTATCATGTGTTTGAAAATCTATTTCAATGCACTGAATTGTATTTAGTCGGTGTTCAGCATAGTACGGAAAAGAAATGCTATATGGTGCCAATAAATTCTTGATTATTATAAATAGAAACATTATTCAGTAGTATTTTGTGCATAACAGATCTTAAAACATCCTTTGTATATATATTCATTTTATATGAGATATTTTTTTGAGTTTTAAAATGGATGTGTGATTTTGAATTTTCAAAAGAATGGATACTGAACAAAAAGTACTCTTTACGATAACCCTTTCATCATCAGGCTCTACAGTTATATATACATTATAGTGAATGAATGAGTTAGTGTTATAAACGACATTAATGTTGCTGTTTAAATAACATCGACTCAATAATAATAATAATAATAGATTACAGCTCAATAGCATCAACATAAAATAAGCTGAATGTCAGAAAAATTAGGAAAGATAATATTACAAATTCATGAGTTTATAGCTTCTACTGAAGGCCAGGGCAGTAGTAGGGGCTGAACTTGCTTCTTTTGAACACAGGCCATTGGTTGTTTGAGGCGAATTGCGATAGCCTCTGCTGTTTGGAGCATGTGGTGCTTCGATGATTTTGGCAATTTATTAGGCACCCGGCATATTAAAGAGAAGGATTCTTCTACGCTGGCTTTGTGGCCGGTTCGCACCAGATGTTCCAATATCGAATTGTTAATAATTTTCACTACACCTTTACTTAGCCATGCTGGGAGATTTTCTCGAGCACGAAAAATCAAGTTCCTAGAGCAACGGCCAATATAACTCGCTCCACAAGCGCAGTCAAATTGATAGATAGAATTAGAAGTGGCTAGTCTAGGTACTTCATCTTTCAGTCGAGGAATCACCATCGGTCGTGTAGAGAATAAGACGTGTAGTTCGCCAGCAGTAAAAGTTCTTTGAACTGATTTTCTTCATTTCTTAGCAATTATCTCGCTTGGTATATCGCCAATGAATTGTAGTCGTATATAAAGGGGCTTCCTTTTTACAGACTTATGTGGTGGGCACACTTTAGTAGCTTTCAGGATTGACAGGGAGCAGATTTGTTACTGGAGACTACTTCTCATGCGTGAGGATACATACACGGACACAGACACACACACACACCACCCTGGTAGAGTGATAGCAGCGAGGAATACTTCGACTGAAGTTGGTTCTGGATTCCATTATGGGTAAATTTTGTTTTGATAAAGTCTCACAGTGTTATACAGTAATGTTTACTGATGACGTTTCGAGCACAATTTATTGCTCATAATCATATCAAGGTAATCACACGACTTCCTAAATTCATTTATATAGTTCCATTGTTTTTCTCTTGATTTTCACTTGATTTGATTGGTAATAGTATTTTCCATATTTCAGGTATGAGTGACGAGTCATTCCTATTGCATGTGTTGGGTGTAGACTCGATGAACAAGGATTCAGTAATCAACCTCTCTCCCCACCTACCTAGATTACTTTTTAGAATTTTAACCCTCTCCCACCCTATTGTGTGGTTGTGTGTTAGCGCATGCATTGCAATTGCTGAGCTTTTTTCTAAATTACTTATCTTCTCGGGGTCAACCATTCTTACCTTAGCTAAATTTTATGCTCTGACAATCTGACTACCCCTGACCTACTAGTTTGACCTATGTAGTTGACCTCACAGTCATTGCATGGTATTTTGTAAATAATATTATTTTGTCTAATTGGGTCAACTGGGTCCTTTAACCTACAGAGCTTGTCCCTGAGTGAGTTTGTAGGTTTAAATGCCACCCTAATTCCTATTTTATTCAGAATCCTACGTAGTGTCTCAGATGTCCCCTCTTTATATGGTATAACTGTGGATGACTTATATTCTTTCTTATTTATGTTATTATTACTAGTTTCACAATTATTTTTATTTTGTTTTTGGCCTTTAATGATCTTCCTAATGAATTTTATAGGATAGTTATTCAACACCAACGCTTCTTCTATCTGTTTTAATTCATCATTTAGATCTTTTTTTGTGCTACTTAGTGCCACTGCTCGGTTTGTTAAACATTTAACTAAGCCTGCCTTAACAGTTAAAGGATGAGACGAATTAAAGTCTAAATATCTATTAGAATGCGTTGGTTTTCTATAAACACTAGTGTGTAGTTTGCCTTCTTCTATTCTTTTTATCTTACAATCTAACATAGCTAATTCTCCTTGTTCATTTTCTGATTCAAATGTGAATTTTATTCCCTCAACTTGTGAGTTTATATGTGTCAAGAAGCTAGAGATGTGTTCTGTTTTTAACACTGTGAAAGTGTCATCCACATATCTCCACCATATTTTCGGAGTAGGGTTAAATGTATTGAGGGCACTATTTTCCCAGCTGTCCATAAATATGTCTGCTACGATAGGGGATATTGGTGATCCCATTGCTACACCTTCTGTTTGTCTATATATTTTGCCTTGGAACTTAAAGATAGTAGATGTGAGGCATAACTGAATCCCTAAAATAATTTCTTCAATGGACAGCTTTGTCCTATGACTGAGTTCCGGATCCGCAGTTAATTCTTTCTTAACTGCTTCTAAGGCCATATTAACTGGTATATTAGTATAAAGACTAGTTATATCAAAACTAACCATTGTTTCATCATTTGCTAGTTGAATGTCATTTATTTTATTTTTCATCTCATATGAATTAGTTAATCTTGAGTTTGAACGATTTCTAACGGGACAAAGTATTAGAGCTAAGTGTTTTGATAATTCATACGTGTGGGTATTTCTAAAATCTACTATTGGTCTTATGGGGTAACCTGGCTTATGTATTTTTATAGTACCATATATTCTACTAGCATTATTAGTTTTAGGAATTAAATTAAACCATTTAGGCTCACCCAGTGATGGCTTCATTCTGCGTATTAGTTCCGCTGTAGATTTCTTAACCTTATTCATTATTGTATCTACAGGCTTCTTAATTTCCTCATATGGACCCGTGTGAATATGTTCAGTAACTTTTAGACTTTAGATTTAGACTTTAATTCGTCTCATCCTTTAACTGTTAAGGCAGGCTTAGTTAAATGTTTAACAAACCGAGCAGTGGCACTAAGTAGCACAAAAAAAGATCTAAATGATGAATTAAAACAGATAGAAGAAGCGTTGGTGTTGAACAACTATCCTATAAAATTCATTAGGAAGATCATTAAAGGCCAAAAACAAAATAAAAATAATTGTGAAACTAGTAATAATAACATAAATAAGAAAGAATATAAGTCATCCACAGTTATACCATATAAAGAGGGGACATCTGAGACACTACGTAGGATTCTGAATAAAATAGGAATTAGGGTGGCATTTAAACCTACAAACTCACTCAGGGACAAGCTCTGTAGGTTAAAGGACCCAGTTGACCCAATTAGACAAAATAATATTACTTACAAAATACCATGCAATGACTGTGAGGTCAACTACATAGGTCAAACTAGTAGGTCAGGGGTAGTCAGATTGTCAGAGCATAAGAATTTAGCTAAGGTAAGAATGGTTGACCCCGAGAAGATAAGTAATTTAGAAAAAAGCTCAGCAATTGCAATGCATGCGCTAACACACAACCACACAATAGGGTGGGAGAGGGTTAAAATTCTAAAAAGTAATCTAGGTAGGTGGGGAGAGAGGTTGATTACTGAATCCTTGTTCATCGAGTCTACACCCAATACATGCAATAGGAATGACTCGTCACTCATACCTGAAATATGGAAAATACTATTACCAATCAAATCAAGTGAAAATCAAGAGAAAAACAATGGAACTATATAAATGAATTTAGGAAGTCGTGTGATTACCTTGATATGATTATGAGCAATAAATTGTGCTCGAAACGTCATCAGTAAACATTACTGTATAACACTGTGAGACTTTATCAAAACAAAATTTACCCATAATGGAATTACACTCTACCACAGTGCACAAGTTTCATTCTTATATCGGTTCTGGATGTTTAGAAGTACTCAACATTATTGGAGTGCCTGCTCTTGACTGAGAACGTTTGTCTTTATATAATCATTATTAAGGTGTGTGAGTCTCCTAAACACAAGTTGGGAATTGTCAAGAATTGAACAACCACACACCATTTCCTGCCCCAGTGTGCTTCGACGTCTGAGATACGCACTCACATCTCCAGCACAAAGCATTCAGGTCCCTTCACCCCATTTATTCAGAATATGCTGACTGGAATCTGAAGGAGGGGATCCTGAGATTTTGAGGCGATAACCTCATGTGTGTGATTTATTCTCCGTGTAGACAGACCCATCTACTTGATGACCAATGGAATACTGATGGCGTCTCAGTGACTTTGTGCGTGCAGTTGAGACTTCGAAGCACAATACCTGGAGAATATTACGCTGCATTCTTCTAGGGTGAGCGCCCAAGCAATGAAACCTCCGAGGTGATAGACAAGGAAGAGTAGTGACGCTTTCAGTTTTGGTGGTGAGAGTATCTGAGATAGTGTTGTAGTTGTGGCAGACTACTTCCTACTGATGTAATGGGTGATAAGCGAAATTGAGATGAAAATGTGGGTCAGTGGAGAAATCGAATGGCTGGGTGAAATGTTATTCATGTGGTAGAGCGGTGACACTCAGAGATTCCTGCTGTCCAGAGTGGTATATCGGATGGGTGATTGAAGTGCTGGTATTCTTCGTCTTGTCTCTGGTTAGCCAATCCGGACAGTGTCCTACAGAACACTCATGGTCTATGTGTTTTACACCAGAGTGAATTGTGTACTGTTAGATATTCAGTGGTGTGGCTGAAAGCTGTTTCCCACTGGTCACACGATAATTCCCTGTTGAATGCAAATACTGTTGTATTAAGATTGTGAATGAGAAGGAGATTCTGTTGACTGATATGCATTCTGTGCATAAACTCGGAGTGAATCGTCGCCATCTCTCTGAAGGGTTATGTTTCTGGTTGTATTGGTGTATTGTTTAATATTTAATCCTTGTGTTCTCTTAAACCGGACGAATCTGAATGGAAAAGCCACTACCCAACCTGGAGACACTTGGAATATAGGAATGGGGGGAAGTTGGAATATCCAGACCACACATGAGGAACAATGGGTCAGAATTGCCTGAATGGTGTGCTCTAGATGATGCCATTATCAGTGCAATAATTTGACAATCGCTCTTCTGAATTTTTACAATCTCTTTCAAAATAAATGTTTGGTTTTTCTGTGTTATCTTGTTCAAGTGAGTGTGTAGAATGCTTGGGGAGAGTTGGTTCAGTGAATGGTGAAGGAGGTATTGAAGTATTTCGTCTTTAACATGTCATCTCTCTTCTTGTCTTAAAGGGTGACTGAAA